ATAATGCACCTTACCATTCGAGGATTCTGGAGAAACAATCAACACAGTCGTGGAACGTATCAAGCATAAAAAACTGGTTAGTTAAAAATAAAATCAATTTTCCGGAATACGCCTTCAAATCAGAGTTACTGGAAATTTCGAAACGTAATGAAAAACCAATTATACTTTAATTGTTGACCTGTTGGTCAAATGGTTGACCTATTTGGTCAACTATAATTAATTATATAGTTGACCAAAAAGTATCAAGGTATGAACGTCAAGTACTACGGTTACCACCGTATCACTGCCAGCTTAATCCCATCAAACACATCTGGGGTATATGTAAAACGTATTATGATAATTACGTTGGATGCAGTGGATACAGTGATGATGCAGTTAGGGAAACGTGGCAAGAAGCTCTTAAAACTGCAATTTCAGAAATATGGGCCAGAACAGTAAATAAATGGAAAAAATTATTAGAATAGTGGTGAATCCGGGGATAATAAAATTAGTGAAATTAATCTCATTATCATCATCAGTTGGCGCTACAGCCCTTCGTGAGCCTTGGCCTGCTTCAAAACATTCTTCCATCCTTCCCTATCGAGTGTCTGTCTTCTCCAGCCCCTCACTCCAATCTCCCTCAGATCTTCCTGTACATCGTCCAGATATCTGAGTTTAGGTCGCCCCTTCTTCTTCTTCCGACCGGCCTGTTTAGCATAGTTATTTTAGTGGGATCACTCTCATCCATCCGCATAACGTGGCCCACCCACCTTAGGCGGTTTATTTTGATGGTCTTCACAATATCTGCATCACCAAAAAGTCTATAGAGTTCAAAGTTATATCGCCTTCTCCACAGACCCTGTTCGTTTACTCCGCCAAATATGGTCCTCAATACTTTTCTTTCAAAGACTCGTAGTAACTCTTCATCTCGGGTCGTCATTGTCCATGTTTCCGATCCGTATGTGAGCACTGGGCGTATTATTGTTTTATAAAGTTTGCACTTTGTTGCTATTGACATACTTCTCGCTCTTAGTTGAGGGCCCAGGCCGAAATAACAGCGGTTAGCCACGCATATTCTTTTTTTTATCTCGTTGGATGTGTTATTTTTGTAGTCTACCAGTGATCCTAAGTAGCAGAATTCTTCTACCATTTCTATCGTTTCGTGTTGCACCTCTAAGTTATTTTGTTGAATTCTTGATATGGCCGGCATATATTTAGTTTTCTGGATGTTAATCAGAAGTCCGATGTTTTCTGCGGCATTTTTGATACGTGTGAAAGCCTCCACTGCTTCATTTTGGGTTCTTCCAATTATGACGATATCATCAGCGTATGCCATTATTTGTATACTACGGGTATATATCGTACCTTTTAAGTTTATTCCGAATCTCTCATAACTTTTTCTAACGCTAGGTTGAACAGCGTGCACGATAGCGCATCTCCCTGGCGTAGTCCTCTGTTGGTTTTAAATGGTTTTGAAACATCCCCTTGTACGCGCACTTTACATTCGACTTTCATCATTGTCATTTTAATTAATTCTACCAAACCTTTTGGTATTCCTAATTCGATCATCGCCGAATATAATTGGGACCTGTCAATAGTATCGTACGCTGCCTTAAAGTCTACGAAGATGTAATGGCAGTCTATGTCGTACTCCGTCGTTTTTTCTAATATTTGTCTGATAGATGATATGTGATCAATGGTAGATTTGTTTTTCAAGAAGCCTCTTTGATAGGATCCTATTATATTGTCAGTATACCGTGCCAGTCGTTCGTTAAGTATCAGGGACACAATTTTGTATGCTGTATTAAGAAGGGAAATCCCTCTAAAGTTGGAACATTCAATAACGTTTCCTTTTTTGTGTATGGGGCATATAATTCCAGTATTCCAATCTTCTGGTAACGCGCGTTCTTGCCATACCTGTATTAGTAGTTTGTGAAGGAGGGTTACAAATGTTTGACCGCCACATTTAAATATTTCTGCTGGTAGGTTGTCTGCTCCGGGTGACTTGTTTCTGGCTAGAGACTGAATTGCTTTGTTTATTTCTTCCAAAGTTGGTAGTTCAGTATCCTCGTGTTCTATTTCTATATCATATCTACCTTCAGCTCTACTTTCTCCATTAAGTAGCGTACTAAAATGTTCCTGCCATCTTTCTAGTACTTCCACTCTCTCGTTTAAAAGAATTCCGTTAAGGGCCTTGACTTGGTTCGCTTGTGGTTTGAAAACTTTTCTTTTTGTGTTAACCTGTTTGTAAAATTTTCTGTATTCGTGTTCTCTATTAAGGTTTTCCATTTCTTCGAACTCTTTATTGATTTGTTGCCGCTTTTTCTGTTTGTGTTTTTGTTTTTCCTCTCGTCTCTTTACTCGATATTCTTCAACATTGCTCCTAGTCCTTCTGTTGATCATTTTCATATACGCGTCGTTCTTCTCTTTCGTTACTCGTTGGCATTCCTCATCAAACCAGTTGTTTCGCTGTCCTTTGGGTACTTCACCCAGCACTTCCTCTGCGGTCTCTTTGAGCGTGGTTTTCATAAACTCCCAATTTGTGTTAAGTTCAGTGGGATATACCTCACTTCTGGGATGTTCTGATATTTTACGATCTAAGCATATTTGGAAGTTTCTTACGACTTCAGTACACTTTAATTTATCAACATTATATTTGATTATTTTTGGTTTAGTTTTATCGTTCCTGGCGTTTGATATACGTGCTCTGAGACGTCCAGCTATGAGATAGTGATCGGAGTCAATATTTGCACCTCTATAATTTCTGCAGTCTAGTATATCTGATCCATGTCTTAAATCAATCAGTACGTGGTCTATCTGATTTTGGGTCTGATGATCTGGCGATGTCCACGTCACTGTATGTATACGTTTATGTTGAAAGTATGTACGACTGATCGTCATGTTCAGAGATGCTGCGAGATTTACAAGTCTCGTCCCATACAATCTCATTATAAATTTACATAATAATAGCGGTACTGAATTTAGTGACGATAATGATGATTTATAAATTTAAATATTCAGTAAGTACACTATTATAATGTTATTTACATAATAATTGTACAGCAGTTTAACCATTATATTTTATACATGCATTATTAGCCAGATAAACAATCATATTTAAAATTCCATTTGAATTTTTGCTCCCCATTTTATACAAATTAACTTTAACTGATAATACAGGTAAAATATTAGAAACAAAGTAAGTAATTAAAAAGATTCTGGAGAACTCCAGTGCAGTTTACCGTGCCTTTTACTACAAATAAAGGTTTTCTGCGAATTCCATTAATCGTTTAGAGGTCTAAGTTGGTTGAATGTACTGTACTTAAGAATCAACGCGAACTATTACTTGATCTTTATGATCGGGTGTAATGATCACGGTAATAGTCGGTCTAAGTTATCACGTTTAAAATCATATCTATCAAATCGATATTAGAAAAATTATTATACCTCGACATTTTCTGCTTTTCTTTAATTAACAAAAATAAAGTGGATATTTCAATACTCAATGATTAATAGAAAAAATACTTATTTTTAATGCATTTAGAAGCATCCGTGACATCAGTCTACTATGGTAAGATTTAGCCGTAATGCATTAAATAAGATTGTCATTGACATCAAAACTGGCTTCAAACATTTAACAGCGGTAAAAAAAATTAGCGTGGAGTCAAGGATCTTAACTAAAGCATCACTGAAGAGACTCGAAGCATTTAAGATGTGGTGTTATAGACGTATGTTAAAGATTTCCTGGATAGACAGAGTTACCAACGAAGAAGTACTACATAGAATGGGTAAAGAGCACGAACTAGTCGTAACCATAATACGTCGCAAACTGGAATACCTCGGTCATATAATTCGCAATGAACAACGATATGACCATAGCATAATTGTGGAGATGACCTACTTCGGACCATATTTCATGGGAAAAGAGGTCCAGGACGAAGAAGAATATCTTGGCTGCATAACCTGCGAAAATGGTTTAACTTAATCACTACCGCACTTTTCAGGGCAGCAGTCAACAAAGTCAGAATTCCACGAGGAAACTAGTTCCTGTAGCTGGCTGTATACCATATATCACAAAAAATTTTGTTTAAAATCCTTTATAAAAGGTATATAAAAATGCCTCAAACGGGCTATCACAAACACATTGCAAAACGTTTTTGGATTAAACAATCCATCATCAGTGCAAACGGTTGTACATGCTAGTAGCCACCAAAATATATGGGTAAAAACCCTTTAAATGTTATAAATTTGAAGTTGTTTTACATTATTAGTATTTCTAATTTGTGATGGTTAAGTTACCGTTGGATAGGTAACATGGCGGCGTATGACTCTACATGAGTAAAATGGTCCTGAGACGAAGTGTCTACGAGGACCTGTTGATAACAACTAGTCAGAATAGCCATGTTAGTGTCCAACATCCGTAACGGATAGACACCATAGGAAAAAGAAGAAAAACACATTTTGTGGTATTACATAACCATCTTTGAGCTATTTATATAAGAATAAATTATTAATTATTATCGCACATTATTATTAATTATATATTAACGCACATATCACATATAACTAAATTATTATGCAGCTATTAGTAGCTATAGTGAAATTATATCGAAAACTATTAAGTTTTTAAGTTATTGACAGGTACATTTTTTTATACATTTTATAGATTTCTATACATAAATGTCCACAAAAATGAAAGTTATAGCGAAAAATAAAATTTTAAACTTCCCTGTATCTTTCTTAGTGTCAACATTTTATTAAAGTAAGTTGTCTTAAATTATAATATTTTAAAGCAAAGAATATACTGTTTCTTTTTGTACAATTACTTTGTAGTTAAATACTGTAATTGAAGCTTAATGACAAAAAATTCCTTCCTAATCTATTTAACATCGATCTTATATACGATCTGAAAAGTAATATTACATCATTTGTATTTGATCATTAGGAGGTCTTAGAAACTGATAGTTTTAACTAAATTTTATTTATTCTTTTTTAATTTTAGTTTGATTAAAATTACTTACCGTAGAAAAAGTTGGGGAAGTGCCGAAATATCCTGAAGCTGTGCTTTCGGAGGGGAGATCTTGTAGAAAATCAAAATGAGTTTCTAATATATTTGAATCTGAGTTAAAAAATTCTTTACATCCTGCACTAGCAAGCACATTATCTAAAATATCTTCAGCCGATTGAAACTCAGCATCGCTAGGCTCGCAGTCAATTTCTCTAGAACAAAGTTAGATAACTTTATTATTACTAATATAGTATAATGTTACAGTAGATAGGTAATCTGGTTATTATGCAAAATTACCCCTAACTAGTATATATATTCTTCTTTTCTTCTTCCTTATTATAAGCAATTCTGCTTGTTTATTGGCGGTTTAATAGCTCTATGGAAGGTTGTTACTCCATCTTTTGGGCGGTCGTCTGATACTTCTTCTGCCAAATGGTGACTTATCTCTCGCTGTTTTGACGACACGAGTCTCCTCCATTCTGCTTATGTGGTTATTTCATTATTTTTTCTATTTTGCGTTCATTCATTTATACACTGTACGTTACATTTTCTTTTAATGTCTTCACTTCTCTTTCGATCTGTCAGCGTATTTCCTGTAATTCTTTTCAGTACTCTCATCTCTGCCGTTTTCGAAGCATATGCCGAAGCATATGCCATTATTGGTCTTACACTGGCTTTATAAATTCTTGATTTCATCTCAGTGTTAATGTGTCTATTTCGCCATAGAGTGTTATTAAGACATTTTGCCAGTCTATTTGCTATTTATACTTGATCTCTAACTTCCATGTCCAGATCTCCATAGCTAGACAGTGTAATTTCCAGGTATTTTATTTCCATTACTTGTTCAACACTGATGCCATTAATTTATATTTTACATCTGGTAGGTACTTTGCTGACTACTATTGTTTTAGTTATCTGAGATGAAATTGTCATATTAAATTCTTTTGCTCTTATGTTAAATCTGTGGACCAGTCTTTGCAGACTATCTTCATCTTGGCTATCACCATTGCTTCATCTACGTAACAGAGTATTTTGATTTCTTTGTTTCCCATTCTATATTCTCTTCCTTTGTTAACGCTTTTGATGAGTTCATCTATGATCAAATTAAAGAGCATGGGGCTCAATGAATCCCCTTGTTTCCCCAGAAGATCTTTCAGTCTTACTCTGTCAAACGCTTTCTTTAGGTCAACCAGACATAGAAATGCTGGTCTATTATACTCTAGTGATTTCTTAGTAATTTGCTTTATAATGAACATTGCATCTGTACACGATCTTCCACTACGAAAACCCTGTTGTTCATCTGCTAAACTTATCCTCTGATTTATTAGCATTTGTAAAATTTTTGATGTAAGTTTAGCGTAGTATTTAACAAGTTTATACCTCTATAATTGCCTGGCTGTTTTTTATCTCCTTTTTTAAAAATTAGAATTAGTTTGCTCGTTCTCCATTTTTACGGTATAAAACACATATTATGTTTTATAATTTTATTAATTAATGTTGTTAATTGTTCTGTCATTGCTGGCCAACAATGTTTCAGTAACTTCTTGGGTATCCCGTCTTTAAGACTGCTAAATTACTACTTAAAACAATAATTAAGACTGCTACTGGGACCAATAACAAAAATTCTGTATTGGAATCTTACCAAGTATCCGTATTAGTTGCCAAAAGTGATAAGCCTAACACCATTGCTAAAGAATTAATACATCTGTACGCTAAAGTTATTGTTTTTGGAGAAAAAGCTTCACAAAAATTGGATGTTACATCGTTATTCAACAGTACAGTGAAGAATATAATTTTTCATGCCAGTAAATGTTATAGAACAATTACTTTTGAATGTTAAAGCGAGCAGATTTTATGCTTTGCAATTAGATGAGAGCTCAGATATTAGCAATGACGCCAATTTGCTTGCATTTGTTCATTACGAATACAACGACGGCATAATTGAGGATTTTCTGCTCTGTAGGCATCTGCCTTCGCATTCTAGAGATGAAGTAATATTTGAAGTATTAAACGACTTCATGTCCACTTATTAAATACCGTGGGATAATTGTGTGGCATTTAGTACAGATGGAGATCGGGCTATGATCAGTACACGAACAGGACTTATTAATCCATCTGTTATCTGCATCATTGTTGATTTATAGAGAAACATTCTTCTTCTTTTTCTAATGGAGCTAGAACCCTTTGTGGGTCTTGTCCTGCTTAACAACGTTCTTCCATTCTACCCTGTCGGATATTTTCCTTCGCCAGTGCCTGATGTTCATGGTTTTAAGATCTTCCTCTACATCGTCTATCCACCTTTTAGAACAGGGAATAGAGAAGCATTAGCTACCAAAAATATGCCTGATTAATTAAAATCAATGTTAGAAGAGATAGTGTAGGCTGTGAATTTCATTAAAGCCAGGCCTCTAAATTCCCGTATTTTCGGTATAATTTGTGAAGACCCGGGAAGCATTCAAGAGCATTTGGTATTGCGTGCTGAAGTGCGTTGGCTATCTCGTGGCAAAGTAATGTCGCGTTTTTTTGAGCAGAGAGATGAGATCAGAATGTTTTTTTAAGAATTTAGCAGACAGCGTAAATAAACATACTAATAGTTTCAATAACTTTGAATTGCTTACAATGGTGGCATATTTGGCGTATATCTTTAGTTCCCTTAACGAGTTGAACTTAAGTCTACAAGGTAGAAATAACAACATATTCTAAGTTGAAAATAAAATAGAAACTGTCATAAAAAAACTAGACCTTGAAACTAATCGTACAATTGAAAACAACTATAATCACTTTCCTATATTAGTAACGTTTTTGCAATCATCTGGTGAGGAAATATTGCCAACGCAAGTAAAACAAGAAAATTATTTAACACCGCCGAGTTTTGTGGTTTTGTTTTCAGGATTATTTTCCAGAACCCGACAGTAACAAAACTTGGTAGCCCTTTCAACATAGATGTTTCAGATATCATCGGCTTAACAACGATAAATTTAATTAATAGAAATATCTTGTGATTCGGCTTTAAAACGTCATTTCAAAAAATCATGTGATTACATTTTAAAACGTGATTTCAAAGAATCTTCCGTATGAAGTTTTGGGTGAATATAAAGAGACTTTATAAAGAAATATCAGAAGAAGCACTGAAACATTTATTGATTTTCTCATGAACATACCATAGGTACAGCACTAACCTTGGCGCAAAAACATTTAACATGCTGGTTAAACATTTTTAAATATTCTAGTAGCTGATATATGTTCTTTGGGGAGTGAGTTACCTGCCGCGTCGTATAGGATGTTGAATGTGGTAGGTTTCATACATCTGATTATTGCACTGCATCTTTAAATAAATTTAAGTTTCTGATGCCTACTTGTTGTCCTTTATTGTGACAATAATGCTGATGCTTTAAGGATCTGTCTAAAGTTACCTCAAGAAAATTAGGTTTATCTGAGTATTACAGGACCTGTTTCTCCCAGGTCACTTGCCATTTTCTTCTCACATAGTGTGTTTTTATATGGAAAGCGTTTACTTGTGTTTTGGCGAATTAGGCTTGAGATGGTTTTTTTTGTAACAAATAATAGAAAAATAGCCACTCTCATCCAGTTTTCATCAATTACATAAACTGGATGACACAAGATAGACAAGGTTGGAAACACGAGGAAGTTCAGCAGTGGACTTTTGAGACTGGATGATGATGAATAGAACAATAGATATTTATAATTTTTGACTATTTCGTTGCTCATAAAATTTCTCAAGAATGAAGATCAAGCATCCTAATACCTCTCTTCAAAAAAGGAGATAAATCAGACGCGGAAAATTACAGAGGAATTAATTTATTAAATAACACTAAAATTAACAACCAAAGTTATAACAAATAAACTGAATGAAATTATAACATTAGCAGGATAACAACAAGATTTTAGGTCGTTAAGATCATGCACCGACGCTTTATTTATAATGAGGCAAGTGCAAGAGAAATCATTAAAATACAACAAACCGGCATATCTATGTTTTGTGGACCTTAAGAATTAAAAGACGTTATCCACTTACTGTATGCAAGAGAGATACCTCAAGGAATAATCAAAACGATCGAAAATATCTACCAAAACAACACAATAAAAGTAAAAGTAGAAGAAGAACTAACCGATCCTATTGAATCTGGCAATGGGATAACACATGAGGATTCCCTGAGTCCTCTATTATTCAACCTTATTATGGATGAAATAATAAAAAAAGTATGAACTTAAAGAGGATACCAAATGGGAGAAAAATATCTTAAAATAATCTGCTATACAGACGACGCAATACTACTCTCTCAAAGTGAAGATGATTACAACGTATGCTGCACCAATTTAATATAACCGCCAGAATATTTAACATGTTAACATGTTTAACATTTCCCCAAAAAAGACAAAATACATGGTTACAACAGCAAATTTACTAAGATGTAAATTGGAGCTGGAAGGTCAGATAATCGAACAAGTGATGGAGTTTAAATATCTAGGCATCACATTATCTAGCTACGGCAAGCTCGAAACGGAAGTGGAAGATCAAGTGAATAGAGCAAACAGAGCCGCATGCTGCCTGAGGAAAGCAATGTGGAAAAATAAAAATATCGGGAAAGAAACGAAAGGCAGAATTTACAAAACTATATAAACTAACAAAATAATGACATACGCTGCTGAAACAAGACCTGATACAGAGAGGACAAAAAGGATGTTAGAAACAGCAGAGATAAAAACACTTAGAAAAATTGATGGTAAGACACTATGGAACAGAGCTAGAAGTACAGATATACGACGTAGATGCAAGGTGGAGAACATCAAGAACTGGGTAAGAAATAGAAGAGTAGAATGAAACGATCATATAAACCGAATGACACCAAATAGAGTAGTAAAGACGGCAAGAGACGGTTCCTCAATAGAAAGACCACGCAAACAATTACTGGAGGCATATTTAAAAACAGACAGAGTCATGTCTATATAAAAAAGAGGAAGAAGAAGAAGATAAAATTCGGCCCACCTAGTCAGGAATGGAAGTCTCCTAAATGAGATGGTGGGAACACTAACTACGTTGCGTTATTTCCAGTGGCCGATTTTATCATTTGGAAAGGATTTATGCTTAGCAAAAAACGGCATGACGACAGTAATGCAGCTATGGAAACCAAATGAATTTTGTAAATAGTTTGGATATCTACAGATACTCTTGTTTGCAGCCCATAAATAATTAATAAAAAGGATTGTATAGATGAAATCATGTTCTGTATTGAAAGTAAGGTACTCTATACTAATGAGTAGATTTCATTAATCCTTAACGGTTTATATTGCCTATAATTATACGTAATCTGCTACCTACTGCCTAATGGTATCGAAAACTCACAGTAAAAGTTATTAACAATTCGACTAAATTAATAAACATAATTATTGGATTGCTGAAAAAATACCACCCACATAATATAGGTATACTGACTTACCCGCATTGGTTAATACCGCAACTGCTTCCTATCGTACTGGTTTCTTGGCAACATTTGGTACTACTTGAAGCTGATTCGTAACTTAAGTTACTACTTGACGAACTTTCGATGTTATTATTAATAAGAAGTCTCGTTTTAAACGTTTTCGCTTTTTGAAAGTTTCTAATATTCCTTATATCATCAGCGCATGAACTTAAGCTACCTATAATTTTTGGAGTTCTGCGCAAGATCTAAAAGTAAATTGAAATTAAACGGTTTTTTAGTTTATGAAAGGTTTCAATCCAAAAATGCATAATTGTAAGATCGGCATCCAGTTGTGAAAAATCTTTGGAATTTCTTATAAACACATTGTTGAATACAGTGTGCAAAACACAGAACTAGTCCAGTGGGGATATCATTTGACCTTGCTAAACTTTAGGGGGTCAATCCTCTTCTTCTTCAAGTGCCATCTCCGCGGCGTAGGTCGGCAATCATCATAGCTATTCGGACTTTTGAGACGGTTGCCCTAAAAAGTTCATTTGATGTACATCCGTACCATTCTGTCAGGTTGCGTAGCCATGATAGGGGGTCCATAGTAGTGTAAATTTCAAATTGAGACAGAATTTAACTGCTTTAATCCGAGGAAAGCCCTCATCCAAAACGGTTACCACGAAAATAACATCAATAGGAGCATCCGTAGATAGGACTGGGCCGATCAGGCCGCCTGAATCAGTGATGAAACGTGGACGAAGAGACTGCTTGAGTGGTCGCCGAAGTTTGACAAAAGAAATAGAGGAAGACCCCCTACTCGTTAGACTGACGATCTCAAGAAAATGTCAAGAAATTGGATGAAAAGTGCTCAAAACAGAGCACAATGGACAAACATTAGGAAGGCCTATGTTCAGCAGTAAACGCAAAAGGCTGGGTGATGAGAAGCATCTACAGACATCAATCTCCCACTCAATCTCAACTCAAAGACTCAGACCTTTATCATACGATTACATCAAAGGTGCAGTGAAAAATTCGATCAATTTCTTAAATAAAGAGCAAAACCCCTAACCTTACCCCCTAACAAAATCTTTCATCTCTTGTTCAATCAATCAAAGACAACATTCCAAATTAACAATATTCCTATATCCTGAGTTTATAAGATTGCTTGTACAGACTGCCCCGATTTTATATAGGTCAAACAAATCATAGAATCCACAATAGTATTTATGAACATTCCATTTCGGATTGCAATTTTCGATTCATTGATGGGCTGGACGGAACCAATATCAAACGAGTGGACCAACATACATATCTGAGAATAATAATTAACTTTAAAAATGATTACTTCCAGGATATCAAAGTCAGAATAGAAAAGGCTACAGCAAACTTCAACAAAACGAGAAGAGTGCTCTGCACAAGAGATTTGAAGTTAAAGCTAAGAGCTTAAGAAGCTTAACAAAGTGCTACGTTTCTTCGACTTCAATAGAAAAGAGCTTAGACCTTAAATGCCATATCAATGAAAAACTGGAATCATAGATGTTAAGAAAAATTCTGAAGATATCGTGAAAAGAGCACACCCAAACTTGAGAAGAATGAATAAAGAAATATAAATTTTTAAATTCAATCAAAACAAGAAAATTGAAACATCTCGGATATATTGCATGGAGAGAGACAGCTTGATCCAACTGATTATGCAGGGAAGTGATAATAATTATGATAGTTATGATGATTGCTGACCTCCTTCGCCTAGATAGCACTTAAAGAGGAAGATAACATTAAAAAAACTTTCTTTTACTGTATCACTTAAAGGTTAAACATTCTATTATATAGTCTAAATTATTTATAACTCAAAATTTAAACTGTTAAAAGCATTACGATTACATGGTCTTACCTTTGGTGTACAATTTATTTCGACAATAACGTTACTCGTTGTGACGAGGCTAGCTCTAGAACTAATGCTGGATAAATCGGAAACACTTTCTGGACTAGCCAATGGTGCGAGTCCCAGCCAGTCATCGTGTATCAAATCCATCTTTGGCGTGCTAGTACTTCTAAGACTGAGGCTCAAACTTCGGCTAATGGTCTTCGGCTCTTCTCGGGACGGCTGTAGCTTCATTACGGGAATGGATGGGCAAATGGTATTGGGCGTGGAAGAAAGAGGGGACGGTTGGCTTCTAGTGGAGTAGTAGCCGTTAGTAATGGACGAATTGCTAGAAGGACTTTGAAGAGAGGTAAAACTTGTTTCGAGTAAACAGTTTGGTATTGAAGTGGCCGAATAATAATTGGAGGAAGGTTCACTGGTGGAAGCTGAACGTTGAGGTTTTTTGGGACCTTTGGAAGTTACAACCTAGAAGTAGAATATATAATTTCGGTCATAAAGTAACTAATTCTCTAATACCTATATCAATTTTATTTATATTTAAAACTATTATTTAATTTTAACTTATAATATACAATTTTGTTTTTTTTTTTTATTAAATTGTTAAGATAAGCTTAGTTCTGATTTCAGAATACTGTGTCACCATTTTAATTCCAAGAGTTTTAATTTACCAGTTTTTCTAACAGTTCTTGTAATAAAAAATATGATCTGATTTATTCTTTAGAACTACTGTTATAGTATTTAGAAATTTAGATCTACTATTATAGATGAGAGAAATTTTCATAATGCGCGTTTCCTTGGTAAATTTTGATTACTGCATTGAAACCTATGAGTAATTATTATAATGTCTACTAAGGGTATTATAAACTTTAAATAACAAAATATACTGTTTTATGGCTAAAAATTTAAAATACTTTTAAAATTATAATGTCATATTTCAATCTAGGACCTAGCGGTCTAAGGTCACGACAGACAAGTAGTGCCGCAAGTTCTGTATTTGGAAAAACCTATAACCTTTAGTTCCACCAAACGTTACCTCTAACGGTTTACTTCGTTCACCGTTTACTGGACTCTGGGCTATTATCACTAAACAAAGTTTTAGCTCTGATCTTTGAAGCTTCTCTTCTTTGTGGCTTTATATAGGTTTCATAAGGTTGTTGTAGTAGGAATTATTACTTGTTTTTTGACGTTTTGTCACCAAAGTAGCGTTATCTGTGCCTCTATAATTTATTTACGTCATTAAAGGCAGTCTTTGAGGACTTGGTTTCATATACTATACTTAAGGACAGTTCTTGTCAATACAGAGCTTGCGAGATCAGCGAGTGCTAAGAGTAGGCTATTGATTATGTACTTTGAAAAGGAACTACAACGTTAAATTGGTTTTATTATTTCATACCGTCAATGGACCTCCAAATATGAAAAAACCGCGGAGTACCTACCATTTAAAGAGGTGTGTTTTTGAGAAAACAGTGAATTTGTCCCTATGCACTAGGATATATTTGGATGAATTCTATGGAGTTTTCGTACATCTATATGTACAAAAAAGTTGTTCAAAACTAAATTTCCTATCGAAATGTCACTTTTTAAAGTTAAAAATATTTTTATACAAAAATATATTCAAAAAACAAAGCAAAAACGGGAACAACGCGATTTTTCCGTTTTGCCTCATATTTTTTTTCACGGAGTATAGGCATTGCTTTACAGAAAAAATATTTTACCCTTTCTGATTAAAATGGGATTTGATATAAGTTTTTAGGATTCGCAGTATTTGAGATACTTACGATTTTTCAAAGTTCGCCACTCACACCATTTTTAAGCCATTTTCCCTATTTTTTCGTAAAAATTGTTCTATAACTCTTTTTTATTTTCTTGTTAAAAATGGTAAAAAAAGAGAAATGCACCAAACAAAGAAAATGGAACACGGATATGTTTTAAAAGTCCTAAAAAGAAGAATGAGTAAAACCAGAAGATAAAAGTAATATTAAATGAAAGAGGAGAACAAAACAACATTGAAGAAGAATGAAAGATCATCCAAACGACAATTACAAATATGGCAAGGGAAACATTAGATGAAACCTCAAGCAAAAGAAACGAGGAATGGTTTGACCAAGATTGCCAACAAGTAATAAATAGCAAAAATATAGCTAGACCATGGACGTATTATACGTCCATGAGCTAGACAGAAATGTCTACAAAGGAATTCCCGGTTGAATAGAAGGTCATATGAAGAATAGATTACAACAAATTACAGATAAGAACAGAAGAGAAACTAGAAAATTTTACAAGGAAACCAAGCAATACACACAAGGATACATGACAAGAACAACAGTTTGCAAGGACAAAAATGGTGAAATTATCAGCGAGAAAGAGGAAATAATTAAAAGGTGGAAGGAGCATTTTCAAGAGCTGTTAAACCCAGAAAAAGACCAAAACGAAGATGAGGAAATAATTGACCACATAGCAGAACAACTAGTTGAGCAACCAACATTGGAAGAAACGATAAACGTCATAAAACATCTAAAAAATAACAAAGCACCTGGCACAGATGGAATAACTTCAGAACTGATAAAAAATGGTGAACATGCGCTATGGAGGCGTATCCATAAACTAATCACCGCATATGGACACTAGAAATCATCCCATAAGATTGGAAAGTAGGAATCATACTTCCTATGTACAAAGGAGGAGACAAACGACTCTGCGAGAATTATATTGGCAAACAGTTTTAAATGTCATCTACACGATATTATCAGGAATTATATACAGCCGCATAGAATAGTTTTCGGAGGAGATTATTGATGATATTGGTGACCCAATAAGTTGGTTAAACTTATACAAATGACTCTGAAGGGTTCCAAAGCTATGGTGAGAATAGATGGAGATATGACGTCTTTGATATTGAAAACGGAGTTAGACAAGGTGATGCCTTATCAACAACACTTGTTAATCTAACTTTAGAAGCTGTTGTTAGAAAACTGGATAAAAACGGCTGTATTAATACAAGCTCAATGCAAATATGTAGTAATGTATAAGTTATTGAACTGAAACGAGAAGCTGCTATGTTTGGTCTATATATAAATGAAAGCAAAACAAAATATATGGAGTGCACAAAATCAAATCAACATAAGAATCTGAAGGTAGACAACCATACCTACAAATATGCCTCCACTTTTCCCTACCTAGGCTCAATAATAAATGACAACAACAACATTAGCCAAGAAATATAAGCACGGATTCTTAGCGGTAATAAGTGCTTTTATGCATACAAAGACTTAATGAAAAGTAAGTTACTGAATCGTAAGTATAAGCTTAGAATCTACAAAACAGTAATTAGACCAGTGGTCACATATGGATGTGAAACGTGGACCCTCTCAACCACTGATGAAAATCAACTGAGAATATTTGAACGCAAAATGCTAAGGAATATATTTGGACCAACCCAACCAGCGATGGTTCGTGGAGAATTAAAATGAGCCACGGGCTGGATGAACTAATGCAGAGCGTAGATATAGTTAGATTTGTATAGTCACAGAGACTAAACTGGCTTGGCCACCTAGAAAGAATGCCAGATAATCGAGCTGTAAAAGTAGTCCAGAGATGAAAGCCCCAAAAAAACAGAACAAGAAGAAGGCCCCGTAAAAGATGGGGAGACGACGTAGAGAGGGATCTTAAAACCATGAACATCAGGCAGTGGCGAAAGAAAGTATCCAACAGGGCAGAATGAAAGACCATTGTTAAGCAGGCAAAGACTGAAAAAGGGTTGTAGCGCCATTATAAGAAAAATAACTCTTTTTTTACGCAGTCTTAGGTAAATACAAAGCTCTTCTTTTATTGAAACTGATAAAGGTTAAACATGGTTATAACAAGAATTCGAGAGAACCTTATCAAGATGTCTAATTTTTCTAATAAATTATGCCATTGGGCTTTGTCCGTTAAAATACTAGGTAATTTGTTAAAAATTCATAAAGAAGTTCCCTTCTTGCTTTACCCAGAGAACTTAAATTTTAAAGACATTCTCTCTGGAAATATGTCCACTTTGGTATTAACCAAAAATAATCTGCTCCATAATATGAGTTCTACTATACTACATTCCACGTTAAGAAAATAACATTGCGGAGATAGGGCCATGTATTTCTTATGGACGATACAAACGCGGCGTTGCCACGACACACACAAGCACAATTATTTAGGGTTGTATAATTTGTATTTTTGTTTCCACAGACATGAATTAAATTAATGTTTTTTAACGTAATTGAACACAAGTGCCCATTCGAAACAAGAAATGAAAAGTATGGAAAATGATTTTAATTAGATAAATAGTATTTACAAAAGATAATTTTATTTTAATTATAGTAACGACAGTTTATTTGTTTTTCGGTGAGAATACTATATGCCATGAATCATAGAAATCAGCAGAAAATATTGCTTAGTTAAATCATGCATTTTGCCGCCTATTTAGCAAACTTTTAAAAGCAAATAAACGGACCGCTTGGAATGTATATATCTAATTACTAATTGCAACTTAAAATAATACGATGTGCGTATGTCAGCGATTTTATGTCGTTCTCTGACTATATAATGATAATAAGGCTTTTATTTAGTAGTTATTCCGACGTTACTGTTAAATGTTAATTGAAAATGAAAATTCAAAAATTAAGCAAAGGGAATATCTTGGACATTCGTGCAAAAGAGATTGCCGGAGAGTTTTGGCAACACTGATCTCCATAAGCGTAATGTTCTTTTCTTAACTTGAAACAAAGAATAGTCGGTTTTATGCTATTTTGTGTTATTTATTTATAGATAAATAATTTTAGGTTTAATAGGCATTTATCATAGTTATAAAAAACCAAAAAAAGCAAATTAATGTTTGATTGATTTTGTAAGTGAGACTGTTGAACTTAGATATGTTAGATCAAGTTTATGGGAAAGTTAGATTACTGTTACATGTTGATTTAAATTTTGGAATAATGAGCTTTCCAAAATTGGTGAGGAAACCATTGACAAATTTGTTAGGAGAAGCCTTAAGTAGTTGATCAGCAATAAAATTCAAGAAAAATATAGTTGAGTAGGTAAAAAGCAAAAAAAAAGCTTTTGAGGACACACATATAGCCATGATTTTTAAAGGTTTGTAACTTGTTAACATAAATCAATTTAAGTCGCAGTCATTATGTAATAGAGGCTGTTGAACTTAGATACATGTTAGATCAAGTTTATGGGGTAGTTAGATTACTGTTACAAGTTGATTTATATTTTAAGATAATTAGCTTTCCAAAATTGGTGAGGAGACCATTGGCGAATTTGTTAAGAAAAGCTGATCAGCAACAAAATTCAAGGAAAATATAGTTGGATAGATAAAAAGCAAAAAAGGGTTTTAAAGACACATATAAAGCCATGATTTTAAAAGGTTTGTAACTTGTTAACATAAATGAATTTAAGGTAAGTGGCCACATATAGGCAATGAAGCATAT